CTTTAATATTAATGCAATTAGCCAGAACTCATTTTCTTTCCAGTATGCCAAACATTTGCAGTAATACTTCCTATTCTCGAATTTATTTTCCTGGGATAACAACTTCAGTTAATTAAGTTCCAGGGGTCTGCCAGAGAAACAGTGTGCAGCACAATGAACTTTGCGGAGATAATAGTTCTCAAGGATCTAACAGTTTTCAATAACAATGCCAGGATAAACAGGACGCTTGACGGGCACGTGCCTAGAGGCCCAGCTAAAAGGGCCTTTGTGTTGTTAGAGTAAAAGGAATTGTAATCTGTGCCACGGAAGAGGCTGTTTTTAAAGCTTGAGGGGCTTGAAATGCCCTCCACAGGCTTTGTGTGGTCAAGGGTGCTTCGCTTTTGAATCTTGCTTTTGTTCTGTTTTATTAGAGAATAACGGGCTGTATTTTGACCTTTTCTTGTTTTATCACTGTTACACTTTCATACATACGTATAAGTTACTTTGACAATATTAATGTCTTCTGTATCCTCAAACAAATTACACATGTGAATAAACTAAAGAGTGTCTCCTGGGCAGTCAATAGAATGAACACACACCTTTACAAAAAAACTACATCCTCCCAAGATGCCTCTCTTCTCCTCTGCAACGTTTGTATGCAAAGCCCCAAGGCCGAACACATAGCATTGGCTCACAGAATTTATTGAACGAATGACTTAATCAAGGGAATAAATGAACAAATTAGCAATTTAAGGATGTAGTTCAGTGGTGGAATTCTTGCTTAGTGTTCTTAAGACATTAGACGCCTTTGGTTTGATCTCTAATGCCAAAATAAATGAATAAATAATCTATTTATTTAAATAAATCATTGTTGAATATTTGCCTGTGTATCTTTAGCCACTTCCTCAGAACAACTGAAGAAAAGGCATTTAGAGTTTGCTCATATCTTAATTTTCACCGTGAATCACTACAGGAGCAAACTGGTAACTGGTAGCACTGAGAAATAGGCAATGGGTTTTGGTTAAACTATTTTGACCAATGGATTTCTTTTTCACTCGTTTATTCAAATAGTTACAGAGTATTTATTACGGGTCAGGGATCTTCAAGGCACCTGGAATATAGAAGCAGACAAAAGAGGTAGTGTTGGTTCTCATGAAACAGGCATTCTCGCTGAGGACATGCCATCTACAAATGCAAAACAAGTGCATGACATGCCAAGTGAAGACGGCGTGCCAGGGAGAGTGACTCTCCCTGCTGGGATCTCACCTGAGCTGAAACCTGACCAGGAGCACAGGCAGAGACAGAGGCTGAAGGAGGCCCACAGAGTGCTCTGTGTGTGAAGTGGCAAGGTGGCATATACTGTGCCCATCAAAGACGCACATGATTCTTGCTCAAAAAAGAATTTAAAAAGACATTAGAGGCAGTCCTGACCCAAGGAAATATTCTGTAGCCGTCTTTTCCACACAACCTTTGGAATGCCTTAAAGACAGTATTTACTTATTGCATTTTAAAACAGTGTGGCTGTTTCTAAAGGGAAAAATGAAGTCACAAACACACAACAACTGTAACTGTTAGACCTTTATTTGAATATTATTTTTAAAAAGGCAAAATCAGAATCAAACACATAGCATCCATTAAAGACCTTAAAAACAACTTGAATCAGATAGTATTGCTCTATTGCTCTTCCCTTTAAAGACCTAACGTTTTTCATGGTTATTAAGCTACATCTTAAATCTGCAACAAGAACTACACACTAACCTGTTGATTCATTAAAAAAAAAAATATTGAGTGCCTGTTAGTAATTTAGGCTCCGGAGATACTGCTGTGAGGGGGTGGAGCCAAGCTTCAGTTCCCACGATGTTTACTCTCAGAGGGGTGGGAGCCAGCCAGCTGGAAGACTGACGGACTATAAACATATAAATAAAACCAATAAGCAAGCAAATGGACCAGATAAATTCTAACGTGTGAGCGCTGTGAAGAAAATAAAATCGAATCTTTGCTGGAAAAAATCATCTAGCCTTTCAGGACCGCAGGCTCCATTTTCTCACCCCAGGATATTTAAATAAGGCTGTCTCCTCTCTCAGGGTTCCTCCTTTATTTCCCTGAAGTACCTTCCTCTTTTCAGATCTCAAGCACAAATAGCAGCTTCTCTTAGTACTTCCATTGGCACACTAATCTCCTTTGCAATGTTCTTTACACTGATACTGGCTCGACGTCTGTCCTACTGCAGAGTCCAGGCGTGTGCCGAGAGCTACTGATAGATCTGAGTAGAGATCGGCAGACCATCCAGAGGAACACAAGGAAATGTTTTTCTTTTTCCTAAAGACCATGTAATCAAAAGAGGTTTTTAGGAAACATTTCAGTGTTGCGTGGGACAAACAAGTAGGCGGACGCAGAAGTATTCAGTGTTTGTTTTGGATGGTTCCAGAGTGTACTCAATGGCATCACGGGCTGCATTCAAAGTTTGACAATAAAGTGAATAATTTTCTACATACTTGAAGCAGCTTCATGCTTATGGAAAAGCTCGGGAAAAACAGGAAGCAAGGCAAAGTGTGTATTTGGATTGTGGAAGGAACAAATGGATAGGAACTCTTTTTCTCCTTTTACATTTAAATACTTCTGAATGAACATGCTTCCCCCCCCTTCTAAAACCTATTAACACATGTATATTGTAAAATGTTTAAGACGATATAGGAAAAGATTAAGATGGTTAAATGACTAATAATGATCACACTTTACTTCCATGTATGTCCAACTTCTTTCTAGGAGTTGGGCTAGCTTAGTGGAAGAATGTTTGCCTAAGGCCTGTTCCCAGCACCGGGTGGGGGTGGGGCAAAAGCATGTGTGTGCGCGCGTGCGCGCAATGTAATTTAAAGATTAAAAAATTCACTATGACTAGCATTAAAAAAAGAAATCCAGGGTCTCACTTTAGCCTACGGTGACCTGGAACACACTATGTAGCCCCAGACTGACTTTGAATTTGTTGCAATCCTGCTTTATTCGTTTAGGTACAGGCATACCTGACAAACACAGTCATGTCCAGATACACTGAGGCTTTTGACACACTTTACCAAACAGACACTGTCATTTCCGGATATGCTGAGGCTTTTGACACACTTTACCAAACTGTCCTTTAAGACGTCCATGAATTTGGAGCAGGGAGTACTTGGGAAGAAAAAGCTGGACTGTAGATTTAAGGACAGCCTGGGTCTCATAGAGAGATTCTCCATTTTAAAAAATGTCTTACATTTTAACTCAGACTGATCTGGAATTCACTATGTAGCCTAGGATGGCTTCCAACTCTCAGCAATTCTCCTGCTTCAGCCTCCTCAGTTCTGGGGTTTTTATTGCATTCTTCTTTTTTTAAAATNGAGTAATAATGTGAAAATACCATCACTTTCAAGTTTCACACCTAAAATTCCTTGAGTTCTATATTCTGCTCAAATTTTTGTTGTTGTTGTTGTTTTGTTTTTCGAGACAGGGTTTCTCTGTGGTTTTGGTTCCTGTCCTGGCACTAGCTCTGTAGACCAGGCTGATCTCGAACTCACAGAGATCCGCCTGCCTCTGCCTCCCGAGTGCTGGGATTAAAGGCGTGTGCCACCATCGCCTGGCTTTATTGCATTCTTAAATGGTAAGGAAAAGAGTTTAAGAGAAGTTGTTAAATTGGATGATCACAGGTTTCTCTGAGAGATAAGATGAGGCTAGATGATATCAAAGAAAAATATTCCAGCCTGGTTCGTGTGTTTGTGTAGCCCTGGCTGTCCTGGAACTCGATGTGTAGACCAGGCTGGCCTCGAACTCAGAGATCTGTCTGCCTCTGCCTCCCAAGCGCTGGTACTAGAGACACACACAGCTGCTGCTGCCACCACCCCATCCCCCCCCACCTCACCCCTGCTTCCGGATTAGTTTAAACACCTGAGTTGGGCTAAGTTAGATCCCTTGGAAAAAACAATAAACAAACTACTCTATCTATGCTTTTAAGAGAAAACAGGAAAACGGGGATGGCGGCACAGAGACACCCTTAAAACACTGGCTTAAGATTCTTTTCCCCTTTAACTGTTCAATGGGAATTGGAAGCTGTAGGCTGCATTCCCTTCGATCCTTCCTTTCGTCATTAGCATCTAAGAAAGGTTTCCTTAACCGCCCCCTTTTAGAATTCCCCTGCTATCAGATTTTCCCATCCATTTACAATCACCGCCCCCCCTTTTTTTTAAAGTACTCAAGTTAGAGATCCTTAGCGTCCTTCCTCGCCACTTTTTAACATTGCAAATTTACTTTTGTCCCTACGGTGCGCCCCCTCCCCCACTTTTAAGCTCCAGTATTCGGCAACACGTAATATATTTAAATTTTGTTCACTCTAGATTACCAAATCGCTTAGGAACTGAGAATTTTTATTTCTAGCCTACCTATATCAACCTTATTTTTGGTTCAACTTTTTTTTTCTTCCGAGACAGGGTTTCTTCGTAGCTTTGAGCCTTTCCTGGCACTAGCTCTTGTAGACCAAGCTGCTGGCCTTGAACTCACAGAGATCCGCCTGCCTCTACCTCCCGAGTGCTGGGATTAAAGACGTGCGCCACCACCGCAACTTTCTCAACATCGACAATTATGCTTAATCTACAGTTGGCACTCATTAAATATATGTTGAATAAAATGTTGGCTGCCGTTTACAGGAGTCTGGGCTGTGTGGATCAATGGCAGTTACACTGATACCACATTCTTGTTCTCTGAAAAACAGGCTTCAGCCGGCCCGAACGTGACGTTCTTCAGCTTTCAAAATGGGAACGCAAAGGTTCCCACAATTCTCAGAACGCGAATTTCTCGCCACAATTCAAAATGGCGAAGGAGGGTGGGGCCTGTCACATGGTGGGCGTCACAGCAGCATTTTTCCCCCGACCCGCCGCCCGCCTCGTCGTAGTCTACCGGTCCCCGCCTCTGCCCACTAAGGCTTTTCGAGGAATCAACTGGGATTGGCTGGCTAGCAGTCTGGGACTGGGCCTGTGAAGCTGGGACGCGACATCATCACTTCCTGTTGTGGGCAGTCGTTTCCTGTCACAGCTAGGTAACAATGGGGAAGATAATGGCTGCTTGAGCTACGTCTCCGATCGGGCGCTGGGAGGCTAGAGGCGGGTCTCCCTCAGGCCATCGGAGGCGGGCTTGAGAGCGGGCGGCGACGACGCGGCGACGCTCCTGAGACTGGCAGTGGCAGCGGCGGCGGCGACCGCGACGGAGCTCAGCGAGTCGGCTCCTGGCCGGACCACCGCGTAAGTGAAGTCATGGGGTACCCCGAGAAACGGGCTGTCGGGCTGGAACGAGACAGCAGCGCAGCGGCTCTTCAAAATGGCCCGAGTGGTCGGCTGCGGCCGAGACACCCCGCGCGGCCCCCGGCCCCGGGCTCCTGGCTCCGGGGGGCTCCGTGGCGTAGTCGCCGCTGCCATTTTAGCTGGGTGGCGGGTGGCGGCCGGCTCGTGGAAGGAGGGGAAGGAGGTGGGGAGGACTTCCTCCCGGGGCCCTGGACTCGCGGCCCGGCCCGCTCTCCCAAGCTGGCAACGCCGGCCGGAGAATCCATCCTGGACTTTGGGCCTCGGGCGTGAGAAGCTAAGCGTCTCCCGTCCTTCTCTTTCCTCGAGTCCCCCCCCCCACACACACACACGCACACACTTCGTCTCCCTGCGTTGCGGATTGGGCTAGGGTTTGGGGAAGTGGGGTGGAGGGGCTCGAAGTCAGATGTTAGGAACTCTTGGGCCTTCAGATTTTTCTGGGATTCGCAAAGCCCCATTTTGAACCTTTCTGTAAGGCATTAGCAATTAGTTGTCCTCTGGGGCTACGCTGACAGTCTTCCCTGAGGATCGGGGACAAATGTGATTTGCTTCCTTGCTCCTTTAGCCCTGCTGTATCCTTGGCTAGATTATTACTAGGATTTCCCCCCGCGTCTAGAAAGAAAAAAAAAAAAACGGAGGGAAAAGACGTTGCGGGTTGTTTTCCCTGGGTAAGTGTGGGAACTGAGCCAAATTATTTTCAAGTTAATATCCGTGTGATCTGCCAGCAGTCATACCCCTCCCCCACTCAGAAAAACCCCTAAGGGTCTCGGCTTCTGCGGGCGGTACCTGCCACGTACGCCATAGCTTAGTAACTAGTATTAACCGGTTGGGCTTCTGCTTCCTGAATGCTCAGTCCCTTTTCCCCTTATGCTGATTAATTTCAAGATGGAGGAGACAGCCACGTTCTTTCCCTGGACAGTTTCACCATACTTATTCCACAGGTTAGTCGAGCAGTCTGAGGCCTAGAAGCCTAGTTATTAAGGTCATTTTTTTTCTTTTGGGGTCAAAAGGATTTATATCAGATTTTCACGCACCACTGGCGGGCTTCACGATATTTTTTTTTTTTGCTAGAAATCAGTTGCTTACATTTCTTGAATCATAATTAACCACAGTGCGTTTAGATGCTTGAAGACCAAAAATAACAAATGTAGTGCTAATCATTTCTTTGATTCTTCATAATTACAAAGTTACTCATCTTCCCATTAGATCAGAGTCGTCTGCAGAGGCAGGCACAATTACAGGTCGGCCTTTTCCTCAAATCAGTTTCTGAAATACAGGTTAACTATGTAGAAAGACGAACCCCAGCAACCCTTTAGAGGGCTATTTTTCGGCAGTTCCTCTTACTGAAAAAGGTCGCTAACATTCTTTAGCTTAAGATGTCCGGATGGTTTTATTTTTTATAGTTTCTGCCTTAGGCTGGTGTAGTGTACCAAAGAAGTCCTTGAAAGTAACTTTTAGAATCTGAAAATAATGACTAGTCTGATAAGGAAAGGCCTGTTTTAAAGAAGCTAATAGTAAAAGGTTGGTTGCCTCTTGGCCTTTAAAGGAAATGTTTTATCTAATTCTTGCTTCCCTCTGACCTCCTTGGTTCCCCAAATATCCTAATACTAACATTGAATTAATTTGGATTATGATGCATGTAACCAAAATACATATGATATGTGTTTTTTGAGAATTTGTTTTATTAAAAAAGAAAATGTGGATCTTCTAACAGGAAGACTAATGAATTCTTTTTCTTCTAGAGCGGAGTGAAGAAAACTGAAAATCCAGCTTATTGGATTTCAGTACTATGTCATAACAGACAGGTAATTTTTTTGTTTCATCTCCTGATGATGTATACATAGAATGTATTTGCAAATATATGTTGTGCTCTATAGTCCCTGTGGTTGAATGGGTTCTTCACGATGAGGGTGGGTGCTTTTTTACTGTGAATTCAAAGGGTACCTGAAAATCACCTATGCTTTAGGTTTGGGTTTTATTGAGTAATCTAAAATTAGCCAAATTTTTATAGCACTAAAAGAAAAAAAATTAAGCTGCTTTAAGATATTGTTGGAAATACCTGGGTATAAGAACATGCTTTTAAATGTTTGGTGAGTAGCTAAATGAAATCTCAATAGAATGTGAGTTATTTTATCTGCCATTTTATTTTTCTCCCCCTTCAAGATTCAAGAAGCCATATGATATACATACTCTAGTTGGAATTAATTCTGTCACTATTATCAACATTGTAAGATAACCTCATAATTGCTTACACTAAGCAGGACACTTCAAAGTAAGTAGAACATTATTAATAAGTATTCCTAGGAAATAGGTGCAAACTCTGCTGGATAGTAACTGGGCTACAGTTATAACAAACTTCTCTTGAAGGAGTGTGTGCTAGGATCTGGCTTTGGCATGTCTTATTTCATAATCCTCAGTCAGGCCTTCGTGAGGATATTCTAGTTTAAAGAGGAAACAAACTACTCTGAGAAAGTTGAGTGATTTGTTAAAAATTAGTGTGTGTGGAGCCTTCATTTTATCTCAGGTCTGTCCAACATCAAGTCACCAAACTTTTAATATCTATTTGCTATCCAGTTACATCAGAAAGCTAGTGGAAGTTAAAAGTGGTAATCTAACTTATTCTGCATCCAAAACTTGTCATTAGCTCGTAAAAATAGTTTGCCTCAGTGAAACAGGCGAGAGTTGTCCAGAATCTACACATTATTTGAGTGGTTTGTTATAGTTTCTGTTTCAACTTTTCTGGTCTTGGTGTAAGTTGATAGAGATCCTTTATAAAATCAGTGTGTGTCACAGTGACCCACATCTGGAATGCTAGCATTGGCAGGGGCAGACATAGGGTCACTACAATTTGAGACCCGCATGGTCTAAACAGTGAGTTCTAGACCTACCAGTTCTATATAGGGAGAGACCTTGTCTCAAAAAAATTATAATCTATACTCTTTTTAAAGAAATAGCTCAATGAAGTCTTTAGAAATGTTAGCCACTATCTTTCAGTAAACATTGTAGTAAGGCTTCCAGTAAGAGCAAGTCAAGTGGACCATTTGCACTTATAGAATTGTGTTACATGTACTTTTTCCAGAATCCTATAGGACAGGGAAATAGAATACCTCAGTGACTAGCATCCTGTTCCTTTGATTTACCATTGAGTGGGTAGCAAATAAGAATCAAAACCAGACCAATGAGGTGCAGCATTTTTGGGTTAGTGCCAGGATGAGGACATTTTCTTTTGTGAGTGTAGTTCTTTAACATTTTTGGATAATAGAGATTTCTAAATCCTCAGGTCCCGCTTTATATAGGAATCTGAAGTTTTGATAAGTAAGGTTAAGATAGTAATAGTTCCCTGTCTGTTTTTTCCTTCATTATTTTTTCTCAGCTTTGAATAGGGATATAAAGCCACTTATCCTACCCCTCTAATTAACTGAGGTTTTTTCAAAGATAGATTCCTCAATTATGGATATGTTTTTGAACATAGAGTTTCCCACCAGAACTTTTGCTCTAAATTTTATTATAATGTTTTAAGATTTTAATTTCATTAATCATAACAGCACCAGTATGTACTGGACAAATATCTGTCGTAGACAGCAACACATTGTGTTTGTGTTTAGGTTAAAGGTGCAGATTATACTGTCCTTGCAACCTGTGACAGTCTAAAGGAATTTGATGAGAATGATTCTTTCTGGGTGGAGAGAAATACTTGTGTTTAATGATAGCCTAAGTACAGGTATAAAAGGTTCTTAGTGTATGGGTCAGACCAGGGTTAAAGGGCTGCCCTTAATGATTTCTGGGTAGGAACACTGGTTCAGGAAGGATTTAGTTGTCATCATGTTTCATCTTAAAGTTGTTTTCCTCAACTAAAATTAAGTGATTGATATAGGTGATATGCCAGTGTTTTTTGGTTGTGTTTTATTTTTGATTTTTTTTGAGGCAAGATCTAGAAGTCCAAGTTGTCCTGGAGCTAATTATATAACAACCTCATGAAACTCCTCCTGTCTAATCCTCTAGGTGTTTTAGGGAAAATATTTTTTATTTTATGTATTTATTTATTTGGTTTTTTGAGACAGGGTTTCTCTGTAGCTTTGGAGCCTGTCCTGGAACTAGTTCTTATAGACCAGGCTGGCCTCAAACTCACAGAGATCCACCTGCCTCTGCCTCCAAGTGCTGGGATTAAAGGTGTGTGCCACCACTGCCCGGCTATATTTTTTATTTTAAAAGAAGCAATTCAAAATTGAGTTTATAGAGAACAAATTCTGATATAATGAGGTAGAGTAATAAAAGAACATGGAATGGTGGTTGAAGATTAAATTCATTGTCTGAATTACTTGAGTGGGATGAAATGTCATCATATTGGCTTCCCACTAACTTGATCCTATAAATTGATAGCATAGCAGAGTTTTCTGTCGTTTACTTTATAGTTCTTAATATTCTTTCGATTGAATTGTTTTTAGAGACTTGTAGTCGGAATTGTGAACTGCAAGTCAGTACTCTTCCTGCGAAGAGGTTAGACATAAGGGACATTCCTGAATCTGTTCTGGATTTTTCATCTGCCCTCTACAAGAGGTAAAGATAGGAAATTATAAGCAAAGCTAAGTGTTGGTTACTATCTGGGTCATCTGTAAGCTCATTGCTCTGCTGTCTCCATAGTTCTGAATACACTGTATATTCTACTAGTCTACTTCTGGAAACATTTCAACGAATCATATAGTTGGTAAGCAGTATCTTCCCATAAATAAATGCAATAAAACAACCCTGTCCTGTTTCTTTTTAAATTAGATTATTTTATTTGTATGAGTACTTTATCTGTAGTATGTATGTATGTATGTAGTGTGTGTGCCTGTTGCCCATTTAGGCCAGGAGAGGATGTTCAATTCCCTGGAACCAAAGTTACTGATGGTAATGAGCTTCCACATAGTGCTGGGAATTAAATCAGGTCTTCTGCAAGAGTAGCAAGTACTCTACATCATATAGCCATCTCTCTATCCCTCTGTCCTTGTCTTTTTGTTGTTGTTTTTGAGACAGGGTCTCACTGTGTAGCCCTGTCTAGCCTGGAACTTGAGAGTTCTGCCTGCTACCTCTTGAGTGCTGGAATTAAAGGTATGTTTCACCATGCCCAGTGCCCTGTTGGTTTTTTTTTTTTGTTTGTTTGTTGTTTTTTGTTTTTGTAAATGCTTTATATTTTTGAAAGTGAGAGATGACAGAACAACACAGCTAAACGTCCATCCATTTATCTATTATAAATTTAATGAACTTTAAACTGTTTAAATTCTACAAAGAAAAACTCTTTTTTTTTTTTCCCGAGGCAGGGTTTCTCTGTGGTTTTGGAGCCTGTCCTGGAACTAGCTCTTGTAGACCAGGCTTGTCTCGAACTCACAGAGATCCGCCTGCCTCTGCCTCCCAAGTGCTGGGATTAAAGGCGTGCACCACCACCGCCCAAAGGAAAACACTTTTGGTATCTACATACGGTCCTTTTTATCCTGACTTCAAATCTAGTAGATCACTTGATTTCATTTTCTATATTATTTTTGGTGGAACTGGAATTTGTACCTGGAGTCTTATACATTCCAAGCAAGTGCTTTTTATTTTGTGATTTGAGATCACATCTCATAAAATTGCCTAGGCTACCCTGGAACTAACTGTAGCACAGATAGGCCTTGAACTTGTGATCCTCCTACCTTAGTCTTTCTATTGGCTAGGATTACAGCCTATCTCATGCTTTAGCCTTTTGCTTTTTTTTTTTTTTTTGAGACAAGGGTTGTCTGTATAATAGAGCCCTGTCTGTCCTGGCATTTCATTTATAGACCAGGCTGTCTTTAACTGACAGAGATATTCCTGCCTTTGTCTCCGATTGCTGAGATTATAGGTTTACACCACCATTTTCCAGCTGGTTTAAACTATTTTGAGACAGTTTCACTATATAACTCTGGCTGTCCACAAACTCAAAGATCTGCCTGCCCTGAGTGCTGGGATTAAGGTGTCCATCACCATATTTGACTATGGTTGAACAAATAGGTTTTTTTTGGTGTTAGTATTATTGAATTAATACTTTGTTGACAAAAATAAAGCTGACAAAATGACTAGGATACAAACTGAAGTATATGGCTCAGTGGTAGAGTGTTTGCCTAATATGCACAGTTCATTCCTAGCACTGTTGAAGAAAATTACAGAACCAGCATGGTGACATGGGACTAGGCTACATAGGGAGCCCATGCCCCTCCAAAAGCAGTTCAGAAAATAGAAAATTTGGCTATTTGTGCCAATGCAAGGTGTTTTGCAGGCCAAGAGTTATTACCATTTAAAAACTGTTTTGTTAATGGGCTTTATGACGTGGGCCTGCAATCCCAGCTACTTTGGAGGCTAAGGTGGGAAGTTAATAGCGAAAATGTCTCCAAGAGTGATGAGGATATAGTTCAGTGTGTGTTTGTCTTGCATGTGTTCAATCCTCAGCACGGCAAAAAAGTTTTTTTTCATGTTCAAAAGTGTTTATACAAGGACTGGTATAAAAAGCCCATGGGACTCAGTGGCCAAGCCTATTGGAATTTAAAGGATGTATTTTAAAGCACACAATCCAGGATATACTGGGAGTAGTCATTTAGTGAAAAATTGATTGACTTTGGAATCAGTAGACCTGCATTTAATTGCTGACCATTTATTGTCCACGGGGCTTTGACAATTTACTCCTTCCGTTATCAGGATTCATACTTGTGAAACTGAGGTTTCCTACTTTATGGGATTGTTGTCAGGATCAAGTGTAGAACTGTTAAAAAGATCTTTAGATATAGATATAGTTTTATAACCATGGTAGAGAGCTAAGTGTTTTAAGAAGAACTGGATTTTTCTCTACAGTAGGCCTGTATTGGTACTCTTTTGGGGTGGGGGGGTGTTGAAACAGAGTTTCTCTGTGTAGTCCTCACTGTCCTGAACTTGCTATGTAGACCAGGCTGGCCTCAAACTCAGAGATCTGCCTGTCTCTGCCTCCTGAGTACTGAGATTAAAGGTGTACTACCACTGCTCGGTTTATTGGTAATCAATTGTTTGAGGAAATTGTTTGAAAATGTCTGAAGCTAATCATAAGTACAAGTATATTATCTGTGTCATAAATATTAAACCTTGAGAATGAGGTGGTAAATTAAAGATCTTCTCTGATGATGTGGAAGGAGTGCAGGATGGCCTTTTTGTCCCCTCTACTCATCTTAGGAAATTGGGGCTTCATATACATACTAGGCAAGCACTCTGTCCTTGAGCAATATGCCCCAGCCCTTTTTCTCCGTTACTAGTTCAACTGGACATGATCATAATTCCTTTTATCATATATGTCTGAAAACATTTTTTAAGCATTTCTTCCTGATATTTCATACTAAGGTAGAGAAAAGTTTGTATTTGGATCAGAGTTCCCTAACAATACACCTTCACCTTTAAAATCTTCTTTCACTCATCAAACAGTAGAACTTGTGAGTTACGCTTATTACCGTTCTTCATCTTGGACCACCACTCCTGCCTTAAAATGAGGCCAGGTTCATTGAGTACTTGAGAGTAAGATTGCTTTACCAGCCATTGAGATCACTGCTTGCATTCAGAATTTCCTTTTCTTTCAAATTGTAAGCAGTCACCTCAGGCTCTGGGACCTTCTTGCAGTCATAAACCCCCATGTGACTGCCCCTGCAGGATGGATTTGCCTTCCCAGTGCCTAAATCTCTTCACTTACTCTACTCTTAACCAATGCACACTTTAAAGCCAAAAGGATTGAGAGTTGGGGCAGTAGTAGGGACTGAATCAAATCAGATATTTTTCTCCCTGTCCCCAAAATAACTGCAAAGAACAGGCTTTCTTTGATGGAAGTCTCTACTTTAGCAAACACTGTGTTCTTTTTAGCAAGGCATTCCTAGTGTGCTTGCAGTTTTGGAGTAAAAGTATGTTGCAGAAATATGTGGAGAGATAACCCAAATATGTTTTGATAAGTGTAGGGAACTGTAGAACAGCCTGTCATTATGGAAGTAAAAGGAGTTTGGAGCTGCTCTTTTTGGTCTGTTTCGAGGCAGGGTCTCATTACTCCCATAGGCCTTGCCAAGAAAGTGGTAGAATTTTGCATCATTGGAATATATAGCTCAATATGACACTAGCCCCAGAACAGGGGGAGACATAACCTGCCCTTAATGTCATTTTATTTCAGAGGGTCTTTTGAATTCAGTCTGTTCTAACTTCTGTTTAACGGCCACATGATACGACTACACATTCAGGCGGTTTACTTTAGCTGCTAATTACATCTCCGTTTTGGGGCAGTTTTGTTAAACTGTTATTTTTGTCAACTCTTGGCTCTATTTTGACACCATGGTTGTATTCTCTTCAGTGTTACACCTTTCTATTGGAAGGCATCTTTCTATTCCCTCTTCCTCCTTTTCTTTTTTCTTTAAAAGTAGAGTCTCAGTGCTACCCTGAAACTCACTATCCATAGACCAGACTGGCCTTGAATTCACAAAGATCCATTTGCTTCTGTCACTGCTTCCTTGTTGCTGGGATTCCATTTTTTGTTGTACTTTATTTTGACTTATTGCCTTTGATATTTGACATTTATCATTTTTTTTTTTTTTGGTTTTTCGAGACAGGGTTTCTCTGTGGCTTTGGAGCCTGTCCTGGAACTAGCTCTGTAGACCAGGCTGGTCTCGAACTCACAGAGATCCTCCTGCCTCTGCCTCCTGAGTGCTGGGATTAAAGGCGTGCACCACCACCGCCCAGCAACATTTATCATTTTTATTTTAGCCCATAATCCTTATTGTTCACTGAGAGTTTATCGTACACACCTGTGCCACCCTGGCTGGCCTATGTAAACCAGGCTGGCCTCAAACTCAGAGATCCATGCATGTGCCTCTGCCTCTTAGGTATGGATTCCAGGTGTGTACCAACACGCTGAACTCAGATACTGGTTTTTATATCTTCCCCATTTTTTCCAAAGGTTTCTGCTTCTTTCAGGTTTAATCTCCTTGGTGCTATTCTTAACACGGTGGCACACTGTTCTTTCATTGGCATGTGAGTTTTACCTTAGGTTTATGTCCTTCAAATGTCAGAACTTACCAGATGTTTTTGCTTTCTTTGGAAGATTTATACTTTCAAAAACTATTCAACCGGCAGTTATTTTGGGGATTGTTTACTGATTTTTCACAAGTAGATTTTGTCCTAACTTGTTAGTGTCCAGAACATTGACTACTTTAAGAATGTTATTAAACATTGATGGTGGTTTCTTTTGGAAATTATTTATGGCTTGAGGGTCTTGTTTTCTTTCCCTTTGTGCTTTTCTGTGTTTTAAAAAAAGTAGTCACTGCTACCATTACCAATACCAACTTGTAGGTAACTTGTAGGGAAAATGGTAGCTTGTGTTGTTTTTTTACATTTGTTCATACTTGGCCCATGTGACTTTCATAACTGTTCACTCTTTGACTTTTAGTCTTCCTGTAGGTATCAAAGTTATCAAAACACTTGCCAGAAATTTCAATAGGAAAAAAAAAGAACCTTAGTAATAAGAGTAGGAAACTGAAACTATTATGGCCTTACCCTCTTTTTCCTTGCCATGCTCATCTTATTGACTTTAGCAAAAAATAAGAGTAGTTTTAAGAGCAGTAGTCTAATCTGGGTATAATGGTGCGCCCACTTGGGGAGGCAGAGGCAGGCGGAGGAGGCTGAGTTCAAGGCCCGCCTGGTCTAGCTAATTCCAGGACAGCCAGGGTTATTACCTAGAGAAACCCTGTCTCCAAAACAGAATGGAGATGTGGGTGCGGCTATGTTTAAGCTATAGTTAAGTAAGTGGGCAAAAGTTGACAGGAGCAGGTCTCTTCGTGCTTTTTTCAAAATCTGGAATAGGATTTGGCTTTTGGATTTTGTTCCTTTGGACTGACTTATGAAGATTCTGGTACACTGTTGCATTTGTCGGGAGGGATAAATTATAGATTTCAATTTTCATACTGTTTTTGTTGGTTTGGGCTACTATAATAGAATGCCCTAAACTGCATATTCTATAGACAACAGAAGTCTTAAGAGAGTTCAGGAGGCAAAAGAATTAAGTCAGACTCAAGGCCTGGGCAGCTTGGTGTCTGGTAAGGGTTGACTTCATGACTCTCACTGTATTCTTATTGATATTGATGAAAAAGTCAAGGTATTCTTTAAGGGTTTCTTAGAAGGGTGTGCTAATTATTGCTTCCTAATGCTATAACCTTGAGGGTTAGGATTTCAGCCTGTGAACCATAGGTGAAAGAGAGAAGCCCAAATTCCATTTGTTTTGTTGTTGTTGTTTGATTTTGTTTTTTGTTCTTATTTTTTAAATGAGATCTTACTATATTTCCTAAGCTAGCTAGAAATTCAAAACCCTTTGTTCTCAGAGTCAGGCATGGTAGCACACACAGTTGTTTCCACAGTGCTTGGATCATGGAGTCAGAAAGATGGAGTTTGAAGCCAGCCTATGCCACATGTAACCCTGTGTAAAAAATTCCAAAACATTCTTTGGCCTCAGTCTCCTGAGTATCTGGATTGAAAGCTTGTACCACCATGACTGGCCTAGTGAAGGTTTTGAAGTATAAATTTCACCATGTAATAATAATACTTGAGCACATTATCACCTAATACAAGTTCACCTAGAGAAAAATGGCATTTCTTTTAGGAAGCAATTATTTTTTTTTCAGAAGTTTAAAAGTTAGTGTGCCTTACTGACAATTCACAAATGTTTGTTCACTGTGGGTAGCTTGAAATGAGATTTTTGCACATCTTCATTTGTGTGTCATTTGTGGATTTGGGGGCAGGGGTTGTGCCTGTTTCGTCTTTGAAAATGCCATTTCACTTGCATTTACCAGTCCACAGGCTTGGTTTTAATTTGCATATTCTGCTCTTAGAGATTCAGTTCCCAAGTGTACCTTTTAGTGTATTATTATATAGGATGGCTATTTCCCCTTGAAGGGTAGATAAAAGGTCCTCAGCTATATACACTGTATGAATTTTTATTTTTTATGTATATAGGTGGTTTTGCCTGCATGCATGTATTATGTGTACCAAGTGATTAGTACCTGCAGGGCCAAGAAAAGAGTGTCAGATACCCATAGAGATGGAGCTCCAGATGGTTGTGAACGGTCATGTTGGTGCTCAGAATCAAATCTAAGTCCTCTGCTAAAGCAGCAAATGCTCTTAACAGCTGAGCTGTTGCCCTAGCCCTAGTGCGAAGTTTAAGCTGAGGAAGTTCATTTTGCACTTTTGGAACTGTAGTTGGAACTCAGAGATTATAATATATATAATGATATAATTATATAATGATATAATTATCATATCTTTGATAGCCTGTGATGCCAATATTCCCTACTATTGCAGTGATTTTAAGTTCAGCATTGATTGTCTTGTTATTCACTAAGGCACATTCTCTGCAAACTTAATTCCTCAAGCCATTTATTGTTTGAAGGTAGTATTTGAGGTTCTCGTTAAGAAAAAAATTGATCTTTTACCCACGTCCTACAAATCACAATAAAATCTAACCATTGTTAAGCCATTAAAATGCTGCATGGAAAGACTATTAGGCCTGTGGCTCATATGAAACAGGCTTGCCATGAGTTTAAGGCTTAGGCTGCAAGACCCTATCTTTAAAACAAAGTGGGAAATTTATGATAGCACTCAGGCAGACGCAGACAGATCTCTTGAGTTTGAGGCCACATTGGTCTACAAAGTGAGTTCTAGGCCTGCCAAGGCTACGTAGTGAGACCCTGTCTCAACAACAACAAAAAAAGATTTTTGACAAAAAAAATTTTCATTCAACTAAAAATGATTAAATCCACAAGAATGAGGTTTACATTGACACTATTGGTTCAGTAGTATGATGGGTTCTAATATTTTCTTCAAAGTACTTTTTGAAGAAAATAAAATGGGTACCCAAAAACTTTATAAACATCTTGCATTTTTATCTAACTTTGAAAATACTTCTACCAGGTTTTTTCCTACGCCACATATATTTTTATTATTTCATTTATAAATCATCTTGGCAGGGCTGCTTTAAGTTATGCTAAATTACTGGGCTATGTTCTCATTTGTTGTTTCATGTAGACTGTTCTTGGGACTAGTTGTCCAGCTACTTTATACTTGAATAATCAACACTTGCCTAGGAAAGGAACACTTGAATGCTGTCAGTTGTATTTGTTAACCCATCACTAGCCATTCCATTCCTTGTATGGTTAGTGACAGCATGTCCAGTCCCTTCAACGTTATATAGGACTATAATTAACCAAAAGGCTAATACTAACGAGTTCATTTCCTTTGTATACATTTCTGCCCTTAAACAGGATTACCATTGATAAAAGCTTTTTTTTTTGCTCAGGAGAAAATAAGCCATTTGGAAACTTGGTTTAAATCCTCATTTTCAAATTTTTTATTGAAACTTTTTCATACAATATATTACCCATGGTTTTTCCTCCCCCAACTCCTCCTAGATCTCCACTCACCCAACTCTACCCGCCTTAGAAAACAAACAGCAAGCAAAACCCTCCCCCAAAGTCCCTTACTTGACACCTAGCCTCTGGTTATATGGATTGTAACATGTCTGTGGATGGCTTAAAAGATAATAATATGTGACTATGAGAGAAAGCACTATTTTTCTTGGAGTCTGGGTTTACCTCAGGATGAATTTTTCTAGATCCATCCATTGACCTGTAAATTCCATAATTTCATTTTTAACAGCTGATTAATATTCCAGTGTGTAAATTTTTATGAAGAAATGTTTTAGATGAAATCCTTCAACTTGAGTTTTCTAATTTGAAGAGCATAGGTTTCTTGTACTGGGAGTATTTTGATACGTATTTTAGTCTAATTTTGTACTACTAAACCCAGGACCTTGCCTGCATTCATAGTATCTGCCTAAGTGTGGCCTTGGTCATCTAATCTGGTGAATATTAGGTATCTTTTGCTGTGCCTTTATGTGCAGTGTTCAAAGAACACTTTTCAGTTGCCACAGTGAGTGTGCTTGTACATTTTTTAAAAGTCGCAGGATGATCCACATGCCATACTTGAAATACTATCCAGTTACAGTTGCTTTGAGGTAACTGAAAGTGCTCAGAGCAGCAGTGCACAGCAGTGGGGAAAACACTTAGAGTGTGTCACAGTTGTCCAGTTCTGCCATTACAACACAAGCGTGGATGAATGCCTGTGCTCCAGGAAGACTATGAATCCTGAAGTGTGTATTCCATAGTTTTCACACATCACAGACATTCTTGTGCGTTGTGCATGTGGCCATGCATGGTGGCACACCTCTGTAAGCAAGTCCAGCACTCAAGAGGCCCAGGCAGGAGAGCCATGTTGGAGTTAACTGGACCACACACAGCTTCCCATGACTCAAATAACTAAAACCCAGGAATTGGAATTATATGCTCATGATGGAGTGCATGCAGGCAAGGTCCTGGGTTTAGTTCCTAGCACTTCAATGTAAAAACCAGTTTTAGGTTACAGAGAAGATAAAAGTAGGCCACATTGCTGAATTTGGCCCAAGCATGTAGTTTGCTGACTTCCCGACCTGGTCTTCCTAGTGCTTTTCCAAGATTTCCTATTATATTTCATTTGTTTTTCTTAAAACTCATTTCTATATATGCATTTTAGATTTCCATGTAAGTAAGATTGTCGAATGCATCATGGCATTCACATTAGAGTTTCTCTTTCAGATAATTCTCCACTTGTTCATCAAGATGGAAAACTCAGATTCTAACGATAAAGGAAATGACCAATCTGCAGCACAGCGCAGAAGTCAGATGGATCGATTGGATCGGGAAGAAGCTTTCTATCAATTTGTAAATAACCTGAGCGAAGAAGACTATAGACTTATGAGAGACAACAATTTGCTGGGCACCCCAGGTAAGCTACATCTAAGGAAAGTTATATATGTAGGTTGCTCCGTTTTTAAGAAATAGCTAGTTGTATAATATGTTTCTTTAACAAAAAATTATCAGTACAAGAGATGCTGAATGGCATTTACTGCCTGTCCTATTTATTGTCCGATTCCATTCTTTAATAATTGGAACAATCATAATATAAAACTTTAGTAAAATGGATTAAATAAAATTGAGCTGAACAATTTAGTTAGCAAGCCATGCATCCAGTTATAAACTAATAGGATTTTAGGCTCTAGGACAGACTTATCTTATTTTGTCATCCTTTATTCTCTGACTGTGTCCCAACTGTAACCCTAGAGTTAGTCGTGGGGAAAATGACAACTACAACTTTGTCCTTAGTCACTCCCTTTCACGCAGATAAGGTCTCATTTGATCCTAGTCAGAACTCAGTCTACGTCTTCCTTCCCATTTCTATTTCCACCAACCTGTGGATGGGTTCCTTAGCAAGACTAGGTGGAGCATTTTGAGCAAACAATACCAGACTTTAGAATTAATCTTAACTGCAGTTCTCAACGGTTTTGCTGTTACCTGGTATGGTTACTGGCAAGTCAGTCATTCAATTTAAAGTGCAGATAACAAAGCCAGAGGTGACCTGGTGGCTGTGCCTGTGATCCCAGCTGCACAACAGGCTGAGGCATGAGGTTGTTGAGTTTGAAGACAGCCTGGGTAAATCCTTCAAAACGAGTCCTGAGCGTGGAAAAAAAGACAGAAACTGACTGTCGATTGATCTCCATTTGTAATTTGACCAATATTGTTAACTTTCAGGCGAAAGCACTGAGGAGGAGTTGCTCAGAAGACTACAGCAAATCAAAGAGGGTCCACCGCCGCAACAAAGCTCAGATGAAAATAGAGGTATATTTTGCTTTGGGAGGTGGAAATTCATAATAGTAAATGTTAGTCAAAGATTATCCAGAAATGCCACAAGTTAATTTAGTGATAAGTAACTGTTCATAAAAAGAGAGGTGGCATTTTCTTAATGTATGAATGAGAAAGTCATGCTGTTTTCTGCAACATCTTTTGGGTTGTTTGTGTTAATTGGACCAAAGTGAGAAGTAGTCTATTTAAATGAGATTTCCTCCCCTTGGTTTTCATTATCCATTGATATTTCCTACTACTTAGTTCCTTGTTTATAAGTATGGCTTCATCAGCAAAAAGGAAACTGCTTTGCCTGCCCTAGTGCCTTCCGACTGGGTGTAATTTTGTTCCACATGGGGGGATTAGCAATGAGTGCAGACACTGGTTGACACAACTGAAGAGGGTTTGCTCTTAGTATCTAGCAGGCAGAAGGCAGCTATACTGCCAGCCATTCTGATGATCTACAAGACACACCACAGTTCCCAGCATTAAGTGGCTCAGAGGGTCAGTGCTGCTGCTAAGTAAAAAAGCTGGCTCTAAGCTCAGGCTGGTGCCTCCCTCTCTGCAGGAAACAGAGATTGACCGTAACCTAGGAGCTGGTGCTGGTACATTAGTCCGTAAACACACTGCCAGGCATGCTGTTACTCCAGGTTCAGGCTATTCATTTCATATGATCTTCATTTTCGTGGTAGTTTAAAATCTTGATATTGACAATTATTCAAGAACTTATAAACCATTAGCCTTGTTTATATGTTTACTATGACTACAAAATTCTTGTATTTTAAAGCAACTTCATATTATCAAAGGCACTTAAGCTAGGCCCCTAGATGAAGTAATAAAGACTGAATTTGGTAGAAATATAATTGGAACGAAAATACAAACACTAGTCCCCAAAACTAGCAATTTAGTCATTTGATTTTGTTTAGACAGTAGACTAGAAAAAACATGTAGCCTTCTCACAGTCTCATAGCTTCTTCTAGACCAGCACTTCTCAACCTTCCTAATACTGTGACTCATGGTGTGGTGACTTTTTTTTGGCTTTTCACTTAGAAATCAGTGTTGTATACAATATAAGATCTATAAATGTAAAATTCATTCAGAATTGCAAACTTCTTTAATGTTATTTATATGATCGTCCTAATTATTGTAGTTCCTTTCTCTCCTCCCCTTTCTTTGTTTTAAACAGGTGGAGACTCTTCAGATGACATGTCCAATGGTGACTCTATAATAGATTGGCTTAACTCTGTCAGACAGACTGGCAATACAACAAGAAGTGGTCAGAGAGGAAATCAGTCCTGGAGGGCAGTGAGCCGGACTAATCCAAATAGTGGTGATTTCAGATTCAGTTTAGAGATAAATGTTAACCGTAATGGAAGCCAAACCTCAGAGAATGAAAATGAACCATCTGCTAGACGTCTTAGTGTAGAAAACATGGACAGCAGCAGCCAAAGACAAATGGAAAATTCAGCATCTGAGACATCATCTGCCAGATCATCTAGGTCAGAACGCAGTTCTGCTGAAGCATTAACAGAAGTGCCATCCACCAGAGGTCAGAGGAGGGCAAGAAGCCGAAGCCCAGAACACCGGAGAACCAGAGCCAGAGCTGAAAGAAGTAGGTCTCCTCTGCACCCAGCAAATGACATTCCACGAAGAAGTCATCATAACATCTCATCTCAGACTTTTGAGCACCCTTTAGTAAACGAGCTTGAAGGAAGTTCTAGAACCCGTCACCATGTGACTTTGAGACAGCAGATAAGTGGGCCCGAGTTGCTAGGTAGAGGTCTTTTTGCAGCTTCTGGGTCGAGAAATTCTGCCGCTCAAGGGGCAAGTTCTTCAGACACGGGTAACAATGGTGAAGGTGCAGGATCTGGTCAAAGACCTCCAACCATCGTTCTTGATCTTCAAGTCAGAAGAGTTCGTCCAGGAGAATACCGGCAGAGAGATAGCATAGCTAGCAGAACTCGGTCAAGGTCTCAGACCCCAAACAACACCGTCACTTACGAAAGTGAACGTGGGGGTTTTAGGCGCACCTTCTCACGTTCTGAACGTGCAGGCGTGAGAACCTATGTGAGTACTATCAGGATTCCAATTCGTAGAATCTTAAATACTGGATTGAGTGAAACTACATCTGTTGCAATTCAAACCATGTTAAGGCAGATAATGACAGGTTTTGGTGAGCTGAGTTACTTTATGTATAGTGACAGTGACTCAGAGCCTGGTATCTCAGTCCCCACTCGAAATACGGAGAGAATAGAGACCCGGAGTGGAAGAGGGAGCTCTGGTGGTAACAGCTCTGGTTCCGGCTCCAGTTCCAATGGTGAAAGTTCAGAAAGTAGCTCAGAGATGTTTGAAGGCAGTAATGAAGGAACCCGAATTCTCGCACCAGGTGCCAGGAGAGAGGGCCGACATAGGGCCCCAGTTATATTTGATGAGAGTGGCACTTTGCCATTCCTTAGTCTGGCTCAGTTTTTCCTCTTAAATGAGGATGATGACGACCAACCTAGAGGACTGACCAAAGAACAGATTGATAACTTGGCAATGAGAAGTTTTGGTGAAAATGATGCATTGAAGACATGTAGTGTTTGCATTACAGAATATACGGAAGGCAACAAACTTCGTAAGCTACCTTGCTCCCATGAGTACCACGTCCACTGCATCGACCGCTGGTTATCGGAGAATTCCACCTGTCCCATTTGTCGCAGGGCCGTCTTATCTTCTGGGAACAGAGAAAGTGTTGTGTAGTGAGAACAGAACTCTCGAAGCTGTGTAGCTGGAATAGTGATGGGCAAACGGAAAGTCACCTGCTTTATGTCCACTTTTTAAGTGGTGCTTAAATATAAAGTCAACCTGAATTGAGTCATTGCTTTCTGAGGGAGTCATGTCTTTTCTCTAGTTTCTCTTTCAGGATAGAAAGAATATTTCAGAAGCGACATTTTAGGACTTCAGTGTTTGATTTCAGTACCAGATAATTGCTAACCTGTTACTGATAATTTACCCATGTACACTTGCCATTTTCCCTTTGTTACCGTAAGGTCTGCCTTAGCAAGGGCTCCTTTATCATCTTGACCTCTTTTTAGGTTTCTCAGGCCATAAGAGGGTCATGAAGAAAATTCCCACTCAAGACTAAGTTCCATTATATGTTTTGTAAGTGATTAATTAAAACTATACCATTCCCAGTTGTTGACACAAAGTCAGTCACATTCTGAATATTGTTTGTTCACCTTCCAGATTAGGTGATGATGGACATATCAGTGTAAATAACACTAAACAGTTAGGATCTTCTACGTGTATTAACTGTCCTAAGCCCATCACTGTGGCACACAATAGAATGAACTTAGAGTTTAATTGAGATATTTATCTTGTGGAAATATTAAAAAGCCTATGCTTGTGTAAGTGAAAAAAATCACATTCATTTGTTTAAAAATGTAAAGCTATTTTGTAGAGGCTCAGTACTTTTCCAATGCACTGTTGTATTAATGCATTCAAAATTGTAAAGTACCATGCTTAGAAATGAGAACTGCTTTTTGTGAGCCAGCATAGTAAAACAAACACACCAAACAAAGTACGAAGCTGCTTTTGTAAGTGTGTAGATGTCAAGAGCAGAACATATCTCTATTTAATGTATTTGAGAACAGCTACTGTGACATGGAAAGGAAAGGACCATGTAGAATCACACTGCACTAAAACCCAATGGAAACCATGAATTTTAACTTGGATTTAGGCAGGAAGTGATAGAGGGTAAGAACACTGCTCTGGAGAATGGAATGTTTTCATGATGACAGTGATATAGACATGAACTGGTTTCCTACAGTGACAGCCACAGCAGCTCGACCCAGTATTCGACTTGAATAAAAGAAGCAGAAGATCAACAAATTTGGCAGAGCTGTCTTTGGTTTAAAAAAAAAAAAAAACCACTACCACCTAGCATAAGTTAAATTGATGTTTTTACAATCTGCTGCTAAGAAACAAAAGGTGGAGGAAAGAGACTTCTAAACCAATTTTAAGGTAGGGATTTCAGTTGGTACAGATGGGTGTGCTTTTGGAAAAGTCTCGGATTTGCTTGTTTTCGAGATTTCATGTAAGGTACTAGTGCACACTTGTCTATATTTCATTGCTGTGTCTAGCAGATCTAACATGCCACATTTAAAAGACATTCATAAATTAAGAGATTATCTTTTATTGAAAGTGAGGCATGTTGGGTTATTTGAAATTCAAATTCTAGTTGTGTTGCCCATATGTGAAGATGAGATGTCCAGCTCACATCTGTGGACATGCACTTTATTGTTCTTTTTTAGTGATAAGACTAGATTGTGATAACCCCAGTACTCTTGCCTGGTTTTTCTTTTGAGACTGATTGGGGTTAAGATTAGCTTAGCTAGTTCCCTGGAGAAAGCTGCCAGGCCAGAAGAGAAGCTGGATTGAACAGGCACATCCCTGGCCTTTCACCAAATGAGCTAACTACCCAGATTACTCCGGGATTCTAGAAACTATTTTACCCAAATCTGCTTACCCTCACTGGTACCACCTTAGCAGTACAGATTATTTCAAAGTTCATTCTTTCATGTTTTCCTCTGGCTTTCAGTCCTACCTAAGTGTCAAGGAAATGAAATTGTAAATATGGTAGTTGTTTACAAAGGATATGTACTGCTCTTGCAAGGAAATAATGTCCAAACAAAGCTTCACTTATTTTTTTTAATATAAGCAGATTTCACTGTTTATGGCGCTTATGTAATACATTTTTATCTTTTTAAAAGAATTGTCCATGTAAAAGTCAGGATTCCTTTATATTTGTGAGCCTCCTTGTCACCTTTCTATGGTTTTCAGATCTGCAGGATAGTCCTGATTAACTAAAAACAAATCCTTTTTCCTCTTGATAAAAATGTTCCATTTTAGTGGTGTTCATTTTCTATATCTCAAAAACAGCTGCAGCACATTCTAAACATGAAGTTACTGTCAACAGGCACCTCCCTTAACTCCCCAATCATATTACTCTTTTGCGAAGTACTGAAGTCAGAGGTAACTTAAGCAGGATGCTAGTTATGAATGCAGATGTTGAAGCTCTTCAGAGACACTGGAAATCTTCCCATTTCTAGACTTCAGTAGAATGCACATGTTTAACGTGCATGTGGACCCTTTCTAATAGGATTCCTATCTCTTGGGTTCTGTAGAATGAATACAAGTATTTTTAGTGGGAGTTGCTTTTTCATTTTACCAAGTCCATGACTATTATATATTACTAGTGTTGCAGACGTTAAGGATAAGGTTGTTCGTATAGGTGTCAGGTGTAAAGAGTGAAAGTCTTTTTACTCACCAGTGTCCAAACACCTATTACAAAAGACTTTACATTTCATTTTGTATCTTTGCACTTTTTCTTTATTACAGAAAGTTTCTGTCTTTAAGGCCTACTTTGAACTTCATGCAGTAATAATGTTGGAGATTCCATTGTTCAAAGCATAGGGGAAAGTGCTAAAGCCTGATTTTCCTTAAAGATTTCAAATGTTTTTTTAATCCACTTACTAGTCTGAAGGTTTGCAGTGTTTTGTTTTTTATTCCATGCAGCTTACAATGTTAAGATTTATTAGTGCTGAAAACCAAGTTGAACAAGTTAAAAAAAAAAAAAGGCAGGCTATTTGCAGTAACACTGAAGAGAGCTGTGTTGGGAAATTGGAACATTTTATCTGAAAAGAATATGTTAGTTGCACCACTATGTTAATGGAGGTGGCATTGGGGAGAGGGAGGAGGCTCACATACTAGTGTTAAAACAGGTGATTGTCCATTTAATAAGGAAATGTGCCAGGAGATACTCAGTCTTTAGGGACATGATTATCAGAATCCATGCAAGATAGGGATAAGGCTTAGTTAGCTCTGTTACCTTAAGCAATTTTTTTTCTCCTGGAAAAACTTTATTTCTGTGCCCAGTATTCTCTGCTTTTGTCAATGTCTTATATCTATGAAGGGTTAACATTTAGCACATTTTGTATTTAACCACCTGCTTCTATGACTTTAAGTCGGTTCTCCAAATACTCGTGAAAAAGGGTTCAATGTTGCAAATGACTATTAAAGGCCATTTCTGTTTGCTAGAATGCAGTAGCACCTTGTAGTTGACCTTGTTTTTTAAACAGATGGAGGAGACTTTTTTTAATTCTTTTGTGAAAGGAAATCATTTGTAATCTGCCTTAGTTGACGTTTTAAAAAATGTTTTTTCTTACCGGCTTCCCTGTCACACTCTTACCAATAGTGTGCAGAACCTGGGAGCCACGCTTGCAGAGCACTTAGGGTCTTAAGACAGTTCTGATTGTTGTTCTCCAAAGTATTCTCTCTGTACCTTTGTAACAGGCGGAGAGCGCACATGTGAGGGTGTCTGCTTTTCCCCTTCAGTACAGTTCAGTATGTTTATGCTCAGTAACAGTGTTGTAATTGAGTTACCTACTAAATGATTCTTTTCAGAAAACTTTTTCAATGTACATTGCTGTATCATGCTTCACTTGGCAAGGTCTAAGGAAGGAGTATTTCTAAGTCACAGTGTAAGCAAATAAAAACAGCTGTGACCTCAATATCTGCCCTTTACTTTTTTTTTTTTTTTTCATTCTGAATTACCGTGTTTTGATGTAGGGTATTGTGCTGTGCACTCTTAGCTGGTCTGGAACACTGGACCAGACTGGCCTCAAATTTATGGCAGTCCTTGTGCCTCTGCCTCTTGGATGTTGGGAATACAGGTACTTGTTACCAAACCTAGCTCAGCACTTTGAAATAAGGATTCCTTTCCCTTCGCTGGAAAGTTTTTAAATACTCTCCAACACTCCAGGAAGTGAGTGGCCTCTCTAAGTCACCATACCTTAGATCTGAAAGCCTACAGCATAGAATAGAATTGCTACTGGGATTTTTTTTTCTAAGTATCAGTTTTATGATTGTTTTTATGTCCATGTAGATGTCTGGATTCAAATCTCAGAGCTATGGTAAGATACTTGGGACTTTTTTGTTTTGGTATTTTGAGAGGGTCTTGTTTTGTAGCCCAGGCTGGCCTGGAATTGGTGATCCTCCTGATTGCTGGGATTACAGGTGTGTCACCCCACCCAGAAGGGATTTGTGTGCTAAAGTCCCACAGCTGCTCTGTGTCATTTGGATGAGCTGCTGTCTAGAGACGCGCAGTGAAAGTGAGCCTGCCATGCCACTGTGCCTTGTTTCTCATCTTGATTGTTTCCAGTTCCAATGTGTAGTCAGGCCAGCTGCCCAGCCTTAACTCTGTTTAGTGCTCTGTTACTAACATTTTTAACAGATTGGTTTTTATATGTTGAAACTGTCCAGCGTTTGCATTTTACCTCTTGATGGCTCCATTTGTTCTTGGTGCTGCTTTTAAAGGTATAGGGCCCTGTGAGTGTCCCAGTGGGAGTAGGTATGCAGTTGGTCTGGTTTGGGACCTATGTCTGTCTTCTGCCAGGAAAAGCTGCTTTGGTACAGATGTTTACTTGAGTGCCTGTAAGGAACTGGGCAGCAATCCTGGAAAGCTCTGAAGCCCATAAGAACCTGAAAGGTTTTGAAAAGGGCAGACCTTAAATCTTTGAACATGAAGCACATGTGTGCATGCTGTGTGAAGACTAAAGTGATGGCCATAGCAGGGCTTCCTGACCCGGGATCCATTTTCAGAAAGCATCAGAGGAGCACAAAGGGAAGTGAATTTACTTGGCTTGCTTTGTCTGGTTTTTCATTTTCTTACCATTTAAATCTGAATGAAACACCCTTCTCCGGTATCTGATCCAACAAACTCCTGGTTGGGAAGCCCTGTATTAATTTTTGAGAATGTAACCTTTTTTGTACAGTGCTTTACACCTGCTAAAATTTAACTTGTTTAATGCAGAACAAGACCTTGAAAGGTCATTCATTAAATCTGGTTTGATTATTAATAGCTATCTTTTAGGAAGAAGCTTTTTCCCTATGTACAATGTCATACTGCAGACTTAAAATATAGACTATCAATAAAATGCATGAAGTGATCATTTGTGCTTTTTCATCTTTGGGGTTTTAAAAGGTGGATGCTAATCAATGTTCCAGTACCTTACTTAGTCCAATCATATAGGCAACTTTTAGAGTCGAGGATTCCACTGCAACTGGTTCATTATTTGGCCAAGGTTTTTTTTTTTTTTTAATCTTGTTGAACGGCTTAATCTTCGATGGAAAGAGGTGATTAACATTTGAAGTAGGTGTGTCTGCTGCCTTGGCTGACTTCCCTTGACCTCAGAGTGGGTATGCATGTGGGCTTGTGGAGTGTCTGTCCTCCGTCCAGTCTAACGTCTCTGAACGTCCTTCATTCAGATGGCTCTTTCTGAGCACATCACTGAGGTGGGTGGACTTTCCCTGTTATACACCTTGAGCTGGCAGTGGCACCTGCAGAGTGCTCCACTGATAATCAAACGCACTTCTCAGTGTAGTTTTGATTCAATAGGCCCTTTGCCTCACTACTTATCTAGGGCTTTTAGTGTGGTGATTCTATTTGTTAGAAACTGTATTGGAGCCCAGGACCTCAATGCATGCTAGGCAAGCGCCCTAGTGCTAAATTTGACTCCCCAGACTTTTGTATTTTTGTTTTAATGTTGAAACTGTTCCCCAGGCTGGCCATGAATTGGTGATTCTCTTGCCTCAGCCTGTAAGTCGCTTTGATTATAGATCTTCATTACCAGGTGTTCAGAACTCATTGTGAGCTACACACGCGCGCGAGCGCGCTTTTCAACAAGACATTTAGTTGTGATGTAATACGGGTCGGCAGACAAGGTATGCCTGCATAGCCATAGGTCAACTTTTAAAACTTGGTGCCATTTGCATCCTCCCCACTTTAATTACTTCTCAATCTAGAACTCTCCTGGGCAATACAGTAGTCACTACCTACTATAGCTGTAGCAGTCAGGCCATCCGATGAGACTTGAGCAGGATTTCAGAGACTTCAGGACCCACTCTTCAAAAACTGCTTAAGATAGAGATGGTTACTTCCTGAGGAAACTGGAAATTTAGATGAGCCCTTGATCACCCCATATCCTTCTCCACTCAAATATGTGAGCTCTCAGCTATGTGTTTGAGTGGAAATAATTATGGCACATCTGTTTAAGGTTTGTTAGTATCTACTTAGGCAGCTCCTACTGAAAAGCCTGATTGCTTACAATGGGAGCTCTTTATCTTGGTGCTTCACATTGAATGAGACATGATCTTCAAGTCCTCTCCTCAATAGCCATTTACTTAGTCCAAACACTGCTTGACCTATTATTTGGAAATGATTTGTTTGCACTTGCCTTTAGACTGTTTTGCTTAAGTGTTAAAAATCTATTGAGATAAAAGTAATTCTTGGAAACAGCCAAGATTCACCAGAAAGGTAGCATGTGAACCAGCTGAATAGGGTTACTTTATTGATGCTCATAAACTTTATTGGTGTTCCCAAAAGCAATTTAAACAAGTATCTTCTAAGCAATGACAACACTCTTCAATGGCCGATGGCAGTTCTAGACAACCGACTTAAAAGGGCATCTGCTTGGATACTGGTAAACTGGCATACTAAAAAGTTGACTGAAATCCTTTGTAAGTATTTCATATTAGAGTTAAGAGGGTCCTTAAAGATTGCTCAATTTGGGCTGCTAGTGGTGTTGAAAGGTATACTGCTTACATATCCTGCACAAGGCTCTGGATTCAATTCTTGGAACCATCAAAATTTGCCCAAATTTCATAGATTAAAATACAGAAAAAAGCCGGGTGTTGGTGGTGTACACCTTTAACCTCAGTAGAAAGACTGGAAACAATGCTGTTCTTATATAGTCAGTTGACCTTAACTAGGACTCTACCATACACTCAAAATTGTGTTAAGGTGTCTGGAGACCATCTTAAATATTCTTTTTTAAAAAAGATTTATTTATTTATTATGTATACAGTGTTCTGCCTGTATGCATACCTGCACCCCAGAAGAGGGCACCAGATCTCATTACAGATGGTTGTGAGCCACCATGTGGTTGCTGGGAATTGAACTCAGGACCTCTGGAAGAACAGTCAGTGTTCTTAACCGCTGAGCCATCTCTCCAGCCCCATGTTAAATATTCTTACTAAGTTTAAAAACAAATAGACAGATAAGGCCTAGCAGTGGTGATGCATGCCTTTGATTCCAGCTGTTGGTGGCAGAGGCGGGCAGATCTCGGAGTTCAAGAGCAGCCTGGTCTACAGAACAAGTTCCAGAACAGCCAGACCTACACTGAGAAACCTTGTCTCAAAAATCAAAACATGAATGGGCAGTGGTGGTGCATACCTTTAATTCCAGCACTTGGAAGGCAGACACAGACAGAACCTCTTTGAGTTCGAGGCCAACCTGTTATACATACATACGCACACATATATAATCCATATATATAAATAGATGTACACATATATACATATGCATATATGTAGACATATACAGAGGCACATGTATATATATATGTATATATACTTTTTCCAAGACTTTTGGAAAATACTTGCCCTAAAACTGATTCCAAAACATATTAACATGCTAAAATTAATGTTCATTTGATTTAATTTCTAACTCCTAAGGTATATTTGGAAATGTCCAGAGTAATTTAACAAATTTATGGTATTTATATCCCTTAATTCATATAAATGGATATAGATTTGTCCTTTTAAAATTTTCCTTGGCAAACTAGTCAAAAACAATGTTTTTTTTTGTCTTATGGAAATTATACCTCACAATTAAACTAGCCTAGAAATTGGAAGAAATACTGAAAGATAAATGAGGTCATAAAGAAACAGGATTAAGAGTCCAAGGAAGAACTTCCGAAACAAAGATGTGAGCTGAAATACTCTAGAATGTCCTGTGGCCCGTGGCAAATTAGTCAGTGTTTATAACTCACCTAGATTGCAGGATGGCAATATGCCCACCTCACTGGATATGAATTTATAGAGTACTTAATATAAAGCACTTGAAAACGCTTATCCATTTGTTATATGGCTATTAGTAATCTATCTGCAAGTTCTAAGATTAACTGTATTCAAGGGCCTGAATGAAACCAAAACCTGGCCTTCATAGTTTTAACCTTTTAAATAAGAGTTAGGAAAGTTGCTTAGCATGCCCAAGGCTCCCAATTCGATTCCCAAAATGTATACACAAAATAGACCACTAAGAGTGAAGTTTTTGTTTTATCTTATATTTTATTTTATTATTCCTTAGAAGCCTGTTTGCGTCTAATGAGACACAGAAAGGGAGTGGACCCAGATAGGAGGGAAGTGGGAAGGAATATATTTTTAAAAAAGATAAGAAATGGAGTCAATAATCATTCTGGATTTATCAAATCCTGCTCTGAATTTATCTGGATTTTTTTTTACAAACCAACTTTCAAACTTCACAGAGGCGATGCTAAGGGTTGTTGAAAAATATTTATTTTACATATATGTGTGTGCCAGAGTTTATGGGCATCATGTATAAGCAGGAACCCTCAGAGGTCAGAAAAGAGTTGTCAGGTCCCCTGGAACTGAAGTCACAGATGGTTATGAGCTACCATCTGGTAACTAAACTCAGATCCTCTGAAAGAGCACTGAAACATCTTTCCAGCCCCAGTAAGCCTTGTTTATAACTTGTACACCAAAGCTGTTGGCTTAGAATGTCCAGCCAAACCTCTAAAAGTACCATTTGCCCCACCCGCATCTTGTGTTTTAGTATTTATTAATTGTATGTCATCAGTTGGTTGAAACCTTTAGACACATTATCTAATGTAGACATCACATTATCTAATCCTAGACCAAATTTTCAATGTATCTCACATTCCAAAGAGAGGCAGCAAGTGCTGGAGAGGGTTTTGTATCTGTAGAACCTGTTCTAGAAGAGGCAGGCCCACTAAAAAAATTTTTTTTGGTTTTTCGAGACAGGGTTTCTCTGTAGCTATGGAGCCTGTGCTGGAACTAGCTCTTGTAGACCAGGCTGGCCTCGAACTCACAGAGATCCGCCTGCCTCTGCCTCCCGAGTGCTGGGATTAAAGGAAATTTTCGAGACAGTGTTTCTCTGTAGCTTTTGGTTCCTGTCCTGGAACTAGCTCTTGTAGACCAGGCTGGTCTCGAACTCACAGAGATCCACCTGCCTCTGCCTCCCAAGTGCTGGGATTAAAGGTGTGTGCCACCACCGCCCGGCTGGACCCACTAAAATTTTGAAGACTATGACTTGAAGGCAAGTTTTGCCCAGCAGAAAGCTCGGATGGAGTTAACTGCTTGGGGCCAGAGTTCTAAAACTATTCCCTGCCTTTTATTTTTTTTCTCTGTGTAGTCAGATACAGTGGATCATTTACCCTTTCATCTTCTCTTTGTCTCAGGGTGTCTTCCATATATATTCCTATCAATCTCATCCACAAAATTTCTGATCCTTATCTTCTCATGTTTCACAAAATTTAAGTTTTAGTATGGTCTCTCTCTAAGAAATGTGTCTGTTCAGGAAAGCAAATAATAAACATAGGCTTAGTCATTAATGCCTAGGGTATGCAAGGCCAAGTAAGTCTAATTCTTCACCAAGATTTCCCAGAGGCCACATCAGCACAAAGGAGGTCCCAGCCAAGGGAAAGAAAAACAACACCAAATAGTTTAAGGGGATCCATTCACTAATTCTCTTTGGGTCCTGGAACCCTGTCTGAGGATGAAAAAAGAACAGAGACATAGAGTGAGGCTGGGATCAGGTGGGGTTCTCTAACTTTGTACAACTGCAATGTGGAACCTCAGTGTGTTTATTATATACTGCACAGGAGGTCAGATTAGCTAGTTTCTGTAGCAGGATCTCCATAAGTGAGTAGTCTCAGGCTGTAAACATCCAAGAGAATGAAATTGCAGTTGTTAGTCTTAGCACACATTGACCAGTTTGTTCATAAACACTACATAGGAAAGCTTTGACATCACTCATGAGCCTGGCCCATATGGGTAATGGCTTTGTCAATTCATCATATGCCAATACGTCTTGGAGTCCCTGGCAGTCCATGCCCATGTCAAAATAC